ATCAGCTCTTTGGTGTACATTCAAGCACAACTCTAGACCCACTAATGGTACAAGGAATAAGGAACCAAACATAATGGGTCTGAATGGGGAGGACGTGTTTCTGCGACCACGAGCAATGTCAGCATGGTGCGCTACAGAATTGGCACACAACTGGCGCGCTCGGATTGTCGAACGCCCGAGACATGGACTGCGAGGTTAAAGAGCAAATTGCCAGCCTAGGATTTGAAAAACCGCTGCTGGGCCTTCCAGCAGGAAGGAACTGTCACTTTCAAGGCAGGGATTATGCAGAACTGGTGCAGAGCCAATGCTGTCAACTTTCATCGGTTTGAGCAAGTGGTACGTCAGCACTTCAGATTTGAAATCTGTGGGTTACACTGTCGGAGAGATTCTGTTAGCTAAGGTAAAACTTTCATGTATTAGGAGATTCACTTGAGAAATCCCTTCGGTGGTCCCTCGAATCTCCTTAGGCCTGAGTAAATGCCAATGAAGGATTTCTGAGAGGAAATGATTACGATTCACAATTGAACAGAGAACGTTACTGCAATTCTGGCCACTTAAAATTGTGAAATGTTCATTCTACGCGATCGAAATCGCTGTCACTATAATTTTGGCGCACCCACTGCCATTCTTAGCCAGAAGATTCACACAAAAAATATGTTGAAGCCTTTCTCGGAAGTACTTGATAAACACCCACAGATGATAAACAAAGTGGATGCAAGAAGAACAACGACAGAGCATAAAATTACGCAATCCTTTGCGCAAAAGGAATATTACTAACTTTGCGCAGGCCAGTAGAAACCAATAACGTACCTGGTTTTCTGCTTTGAACTCTGTCAAACACTGCGTAACAAGAGTAGCTCGAAGAAGTTTCGCCAGAAGTTCGGGAGAAATGAAATTAGATTCAACGTTTAACACCTTCAGAGAAGTAGACGTTTCGAGAAGTTTGATCAATCCCTGAAAGTAAATGATGCAGCAGAATTAAACTGCTACACTCTACAGTGAACGAATTGAAACTTGAAGAAAATACCCCAATAAAACCTCCAATAATTTCTTCGGAAGATGTAAACAAAAACTAAAACTGTTTGAAAGTCATCAATTGAATGGGTCACAGAATCCTATATTGGAAAGAATGAGGGAAAAGGGTGTTCAAAAGAAGTCCATAACACCAGCTTCCCTGAGTCTGTGCAGCTCTAGATTTGAATTTGGTCCCTTCAGACTGACAAAGCAAGTGATTCCCGATCAAGGATAGGCTAGTGGAGCAGCCACCAGTTCATACTCATAAAGCAAGTTAGAGTAGCTGTCAATATCTTTCCAACGCTTCCTAAACAAAATTCGCGCTACGAGCTGAATCAAGGATTGGCAGCAGTGCCCAGCAAGCAGCTCCGTTATAATTAGAGAATAAGCTCAGAAATGTGAACACAATAGATTCGGAGGCTCGAAAACACGAATAATTATAATTCGATGAAAATACGCAGGAAAAAGAATGCGACTGTATGTAACTGCGGAAATACCCTCCTTCTACTTATAAACACATGTAGGGCACATGGTTGGTGGTATATGATTGTTCCACGAAAAGAAGAACCCCACGAGATGCTCTGATCGTGTTTTCATGACCCCCTTTATTCACAGGAAACTTGTGTACAGAACCACGTAAGGGTGAGAAATTTTCAGTGAAGAGGATCGCAAAAATCAGACAAAACAACACCAGGAACACTGAAAAAAATTCACTAACCCAGTGGTACCGCCCCAAAACTTGATGCACTCAAACTTGTACGGCAGTGAACAACCAAAAAATATTAAAAAAAGAAACATACCCTCGCTTCATTGTCCGACATGGCTGTGTTTGCCATACTCAATTTGGTGATGTGATTGCTCTCGCAGGCGGCAGGAAATTAGTTTTGTGATTTGTTCCTGTAAGTGGCATCGCTGAACTATTTAAAAAAAAAAATTACCTAAAAAAGACAACCAACCTTTGAAATCCGTTTCATATTGTTGACATTGACTTCCTTCATGTCCTCGTCGTCCTCTTCTAGCCGTCTTAATTTACATCAAATCAATACTTGTGGAAAAATTAATTGGAGCAAAAATATAATATAAACTACTTAACATAGATATTAACTAGCCAAGTATTATTTGATAATAAACTTTGATTGACGCAACAGTAAAATCTGACTCGCTCTACTCACTTAATACATTCATCCACGTTGGTGTCATTTTCGGGTTCATCTGGAGTTTCTTTCGGCTCATATGCCCGAATGATACCCGCAAACGTTGTTCCCGTACTGTCGTCTTGTTGCTTTCCTTTCAAGGCATTATAGTACTGCGGTTGGTTAAGAATATTGTGCATACCTGAATAAACATATTTTGTTTAGTTTGTCTGGCTTCTTTTTTTGTAACATTTCAAGCAAACTCTGTCAAGACTACTTTGTCCAATGATAGCGAAACCACCTTTCGAAATGCTTACCGAGAATTCCGGCCAGATCAAGCGAGACATCGCCAGGTGCACCATCCAATGCCTCCATCAAGATCATCGTCATCGTCCAAATCGAGTTCAATCGGCATCTCCATTCGAGCAACTCTTGACGCTGGATGTTCCTCTGACGTGGTGCCATCTTCAGCAGATTCGCGGCCGCTGTCGCCTCCCATACTTTGCCTAGAAATTCCAGCCAACACTCCCCCGCCATCTAGAACAGTATTCTGTTGTTTTAAGCAATCAAAACCTACCTCGTTTTGTTCCAAGTGAGAACGGCACCAACATCCTCCCAGTCCTTTTCGCTCTTTGCCTTCTCTTCCAAATACTTCAAAAGGTGATCTCTTTTGAAGGGTCCTGTTGGAGCTTTTGTCGTCTGATCACGGCAACGCTGCGAAGGAGGCAACATGGTATTCTGAAAGAAAATTTTAATGTGAGGGGCTACTGTCAAAATGGAAATTTGGGATGGAATGACGAATCATCGACAAAACGTATATGGAACTGCATTACTCATTCCTGTGTATAATAATTTTCTCTCTCAGTCCAACAAGTTGTCTTCCTTTCTATCAGTATCGCCTGCGCTGCTCAAGGAGATGGATATAGACATCAATCACAATAAGGTTTGTCTATTTCAAAATAAGACCAAGACAAAAATTGATCCTCAGAAACGAAAAATTATGCTTCCCTTTCCCGAAAATATTAGGTTGTCGGAAAGGTCTTTGGCATTTCGATCTGCATGTTGCAAAATCTTCTCAGATAATTTTTCAACATTTATTGCAAAACGTATGTAACACCTTACGCCTCCGGGTTTGTTTACTCTACCGTAAACCATAGTCAATGAATCTTCATAGCATTTTTGTCGTGGTTTCTGACAGCGATGACAAAAAAGTTGTTTCTGACTGAAAGCATGTTTGGCTGCTTCTGAAAGCCAGAAAACAACGCGTCAATGGAAACGATGCGGCAAGAGCTAACGTCTTGCGATGGAACCCCAGAGTGTCTTTCATGAAGTGGTAATACACTTGGGTTGCCGAGGTCCAGGGGTGCGGGACTTTTGGTGCGTCCGGGGTTGCACGCGGCGAATCGCGCGGCGGGCTGCGCGGCGATCCGGACGAGGCAAGTCTTCGCGGGCTCCTGCGGTGGAATCCAACACGTCAGAACGTGTGCAGATCGCGGATAGAATCCACAAGGTTCTGCTTTGAAAGAAACTTCCCACTCGCGGAGATCGGTGAAATGCAGCGGTGTCAGTGAGGAAGATTACAGCGAAAGGAGATGAAAGAGAGGAAACTTCATAGAAATGTCACTATTATCATATTATAAATATGAAAGTCTTAGGTCCAAAACACAATAATTGGTTGAAATCTCTCCGCTCATATGATTTCCTCTCCCTCCCCCTCCCCCTTAACAACAAGCGCCAACAACCTAAGCGCCCTGATTGCTATAACAGCCTTTTGCTATTCCTTTTCTTCTCTTCCTGCCGCTGCCTTTGAATATCCACGCGTTGGAATGTAATTCGAATCGCAGAACCTTGTGGATTCTATCCGCGATCTGCACACGTTCTGACGTGTTGAATTCCACCGCAGGAAGCCCGCGAAGACTTGCCTCGTCCGGATCGCCGCGCAGCCCGCCGCCGCGATTCGCCGCGTGCAACCCCGGACGCACCAAAAGTCCGTCGCCAGTCCAGAAACTCGAGAAAAATGCACAAATTCTTCTGACCCGTTGCTCTGAATGACGCGCGTCTTTCTGGAGCTGTCTGAAAACAGTCACCGGAGCAATGCACGAGGAACTGACGCAGCTTTTTCGGAGTTTTCAGAAATGTCCTCAATCTTCTCAAAAAAGGCGAGCGAAATAATGGGAAAAGGAGGTTTCGTGACATTGGTGAACCGCCGTCAGAGGCCTTCAGATTTTGCATGAACATTTTGATTTACCGTCTGTCTTGTTTGACCCGACTACTTTGTTGGTGGTAATCAGAAGTGGGTTCCTCACGTAAACTGCAGTCGGAAGCGCCAGTGGCCCAGACGCGTAGAACCAAGGATTCCAGCGCCGATTCCAGCACTGCAACCTGGGAGGTAACTTTCAGAATTGGTGAAGCTCCAAGCGATTCGTTCACTGACAGCTCCTACCAAAGAAACTGCACTGCTATTGTTGAACCATAATATGGGCAAATGGATGGGTTCGCCGGCACTATGCTTTAAAACCATGGAAAAGTTTACTTTATCCAGGCAACGCTCGTCAACGAATTTGGAAGAAGGTCCAGCAAAAGTCTCCAAGCCCGTTATGGGACGTTCTGTCCCACCTGTTGCGTTCAGCAGACCCGGCACTAACAGACCACCATCTGCTTCCATTGCTGTCAAATCAAAAAAAGAGGGAGAGCTTAATGATCCGAACCTACTCGAAAGACCTTCTTCAAGGTTTTGCTTCAAAAGCTCAGTATTTCCAGACAAACGCCATCCACGAGTTGTCCGCTAATATGTTGGCAATCAAGCTGGGGCATATGTTTATATTATAAATTGCTCACTGTACCAAAGAAGAATAAGGAATTAGAAAAAAAACGAAAAATGGCCAAAGACTTTTCCGACAAGAATGACCTAAATAAAGGGCGAAGGGCTTTGCAAGTAATCTAATGGTTCACGTTCTCTCTCGATTCCACTTCTCTGTAACCCAAACCTTCACTAACCCAAACCTTCACGAATAATCATTTGCTGTTAGCTAACCGAGAGCTACGCAGCATAGTAAAGCACTAACTATGACCAGAACGGCAACACAGTAATTCGGGGACAGTCTGAAGCAGAACACTAAATCACGAGGTGCATTGCAGGTGACACCACGTCAAACCCTACCAATAAAAAACTTGATATTAATGAGGAATACGTGAAGCACAATTCCTTGAGTACCAAAGGAGGAAAAGCGGCCCGAATGATCGTAAACTCCAGGTCTGTTCTACGATAACCCCTTTGCTAAAACAGT